TCTGTTATTTTTGTTACATCAAAACAGACGTTCTGAATTTAACTGTGAATTGTGAGTTGTATTGAAACCATATTATAATCTCTTATGTCCTAAATCATTATTTTTTATAAACACTAGATGCGGGATGTACGGTGGGAATGCAGGATGTGCTATAACAGATAAACTCTAGAGTCTTTGCAAAGCTTCAGTTGCTTATCTCCTCAACCTTTCTTTGCAAACTCTTACAAAGCTTGCAATTTTTTTTTCGGGTAAATTAGTATGAGAAGGCATTACCAGCTGACCGATGGAACATTGCTGGTATCCCCCACACTTTTACCCATCCTGTAACTATACGAATTGCATGAGACCGAGGCACCATGTGTCAGACATTTCCATTTCACCTCTTAGGAAGAGGAGATGACGGAGTAGGAAAAAAAAAAAAAAAAAACATTTGAAAAGCAACTACAACTGGAGTTATTATGTTATGGCAAAGTACACTGTGGCCATATACTTGAGGAAAGGAATGCCTTCTTGGAATACTTTCTGATAGAAATTAGCTGATATTTACGTTACACATAGAGAAATCTACAGAAACTTCCATGCAGTCAGCCCCTTTGCCTAGATTTGATAGAAATGAAAACAAATTAAATTTCCAGTGTTCAGTGATCTTATCCTTTAGCCACTGGTGTTCACAACTGAAGAATGTTAGTCTGTTTGCAAGATAGGATGTGGGGGGGGTGTTTTGTTTGGTGGATTCCATACTAAGTAATTGAACTTACCGCAATAAATACTTGGTGGTAATAATTACAACAAGTTGTAACTGACGTTAAATATAGGCATTATAATACGCAGAACGGGGTACAGCAGAAGATTTTGAATCAGTAAATGAAAATAATATAAACGAAAAAAATCTTACACCATGAATTATCAACATCTGACACCAGACGAGGTAGACGAGTTATAACAATTCTGCATGAATGGAAACGTAAGAGGATAAAACAGGAATGAAAGCTTTTAAACAAGATTTCTCAATAAGCACTTCAAACTGACTTTTCTCACTCTCTTTTTCTTTCCTCCTTGGTAGAACAATTGACTGATCGCGTTCTTGAGATTTACCCGGTCATAAAAAGAGAAGATTAAAAGAGTCATTCGAACTTCACTATTTAGGTAAAGCCTTTTGAAAAGACGAGGTAATAAAATTCTGTAACTCAATTCTTTTCACCTTGCTAATAACCTAAATGTTGACTGACATTTTTATTAAATTAATTTTAATTATCAAATACAATTATTGTTTACTTAAATAAACTTTCTTTTCTTGCTTGCATTTCTTTTCATTCTATCGAAATCTGAGTCAAAGGCTGGTATTTCACCGAACCCATTTTATGCCTTCATAGTTCCATTACCAACAAAATATTGGAAGAATTTAACACTCGCAAATAATGAAGCAGTACTATATTTATATCAAATATATATTTTTCTGGGCGTGTACTTGTCTTATAAGAGTATAACTGATGTATTGATGTTGTTCCAGTAGGATATCCTACTCTTAAAATGGGTCAGGTTTCAACCTTTGAATTAAACAATACCACACCTTTGTATAAAAGAAAAATTATTAATGAAAGAAGACTATCGATCATACTAAATACTGAAATTGTTCACCTATGTCTGTCATGTTTCACCTATATTAGGAACCATGTTTTCATGTTTTAACATGTCCCAGTAACTGAAACATGTCCCAGCATGGCCGAATCGGTTTTGCTGGTTTCCATTGTGATATTTGCTTTGAGATCCTGACTAGCATGTGATTTAATTTGGTAGTTTGCTCATTCCTTTTGCGGGACATTAAAGCTAGCCGTTTTTCTAAATGAACATTCCTTCGATGTGAATATTTTTCTCACCCTTTTGGGAAACCAACAAGCTAACTCTAGAACAATAGTCTGAACTCATAGCTTTACCATCTGCAGAAAACATCTACATTTGGTGCATTGTTTAAGAGTTTATATACCTCCAAGGGCTATAACGTCATAAATAAATAAAAAATGGAACATCACACTGCAACAGACTGTGTAACAGATATGCCCATGTTTTGTTTTATTTTGTTGAAACACCTCAAAAAATTTCTTCGAGAAGTTTTATCAGTTTCATTTCGCAATCTGGTGTTGTGGCAAGAGGCAAATTTTGCCACTTGAAAGAAGTGCAGTATGCTTCAGAAAGAACTCTCCTATTTAAGAAGCTAATAAAATCCAATCCAAATAAGATATTAAACCAAATGAGATATGATAAGCCAAATATCTAGATCTTTTTACTTTTCGGAAGTACACATAACTTCCTTTTATATCATCGTCTGTGTGGGTTTTATTTATTTATTTATTTATTTATTTTATTTTATTATTATTATTTTTTTATGCATTGAGTAAACCTTTTTCTCAAAACTCTGAGAGTGATTTTGGACGTAACGGTAGCAACTTCTTGTTGTATCGCCTCCTTCAGATCTTTTAGAGATGGTCACTCAACACCATTTTTTCTTTCTTAGCCCAAAGGTCGTTAGACTAGAAGGGCTATTAATTTCGTTTTAGCATTTTGAATTGAAAATTTAAATACGTTGAATCACTTTTCAAATTGTTGCCACCAAATATTAGAGCCCTGCGTTATATTTAAAGAAATTAAATAATGAAAAATCTGCATAGATGTATGTATGTTTCTCGCATTGTGATAAAACAACGGTACCTAGATCCATCAAATTTTGAGTAACGTAATTCTCCTTCCGAATGTAGGCATCTGGAAGCCCAAATTTGGAATTTGGAATTTGTTTTACTATCTATTTCATATTTTGTAAAACTTTAACGAATTTTTGATTAACAAACTCAACGATTTCAAAGCGAGCCATGGCAACACTGTACGGAAAAATAAAACATTTTTATCTCCATTCGCGCGAGACTGTGTATCGGAAATTCTAAATATATGCTCATTTTAAAATTATTTTGCGATATTACTCTTAAACTGAATTTTATGGTTTAAGTGCGAAGAACACGATATTTAATAAATAAAGGTAACACACAAAAAATTAAAAAAAAAGCTTCTGGGGCGTAATATAAAATATGAAATCTTTCAGAATTTTTTTTATTACATTAAATTTAAAGCATGACATCTTACGTATTAACCTGAAGTATCAGAAGGTTTTGTTTCCTTTTTTTTCTGGGGGGAAGGTGGGGCTCTGGAACAGGTTTCCGTGGACAGAGCGCTGAAGTCACGCTGTGCTGCTAATCGGCGACCCGCCATTGTCAATAAACTGCTATACAACGAAAGCGGGATATTCTCCTGACCAATTTACGGTCTAGTCAAAAGGCATGTAATTCGCTAATCAACGATACACTCTCCATTATTGCACCTTCTATCGAACTATAGCTATGATACTCCTAAATTGGATGTTTCTTCAGCACTCTATACTTATAGCAAGCGTCGTGTTCAAGTTGTCCAATGAAATAAATACATAACTATGCCTTAAATAATCTAGCCTTTTCTTTGTTATTAAGCACCGAAATCTCTGAGTGCTGTTAATTTACGGTGACAAAATATCACAGAATTTTTTCTAATATCTAGAGGATTAATTCTTAAACCAGAAAAATTACCGTAAAATTGCCGTAAAATTTTTTCATCCATTAAACTGAAATCTAAAGTCAGATTGCAGACTAATTCTAATCTTGTGGTTTTTCTGTTTTGTATTAAATTTGTTTTAAATTTTTTTAACTTTAATGGTAAATTCGTCCAGGTGTTTGATTGTAATCTAAATTTTAAAATTGCGATTTTTTTCATTTATTTTATTTTTGTTATGTCGTATACATTAATATTTATAATATATATGCATATGAAGATTAAAAATGCAATAATTGTCACTATTGATTAAACTTTCAGAAATGAAGCAGTATCTTCGTTTAGAAATAAAGCAAAATAAAAATAAGATTATTGAATTATATGGGTCTTGTATATATTTAAATAAATGCACATATGTTTATGTATGCATGATTTATATAAAGTATAAAATACGCAGAAGATTGTTTATTGGAAAATTTAATTATGCTGGGAATTTTTTTTATCAAGTCAGTTTCGGTAAGATATATTGTATTTAAATCCTAGCTGAATAAAGTAAATAATTCACTTATTTGACAGTGAAAGAATTATGTTAATATTTTCTTGGATAAATTACTATTTCGCGTGATAAAATGGAAATATTTCTTATTTTTTATCCTTCATTTCCATTGTTATCCAAAAGAGAAAGAAATTATGATCATTTATGCAATAGCATGTAAATTGTTTCACCTGTTTTAATCTGCGAAAATCATGAAAGCATGAAAAAGTACAACTGTCATTTATAAACAAATTCTTCTAAAATACTTCTGAACGCTTCATTATGTAACTCATAGGTATACAAATGCATATATATTAGTCTTTGCCTTCGTAACAAATAATTCAATAAACAAACAATAAAATGATAAAAGTTAATTTTCTTAATATAAGTGTAATGTTTATTTTGAAAATAGGGCATCACTATTTGAAACAAACGATAAAATTAAACATTCGCTTATTAGAATAAAATCCATTTGTTCTCAGATTGTCACGATCACTGTTACGTGATGAATAAGCTTTTATGTTTATTCAGTTTGAATTTTTCCTAGTAAAAACAAAATTAACTCCAAAAGAAGCGTTCAAATACATGTATAAGGAAGAATAAAACAGCCTTTCATTTCTACATTGACTGTCATATTTCACCTAGAGAAAACGCTAAATAAACGAAAGATGGGAAAAAGTAAAAAAAGTTCAGACACTGTTTTCTCCATTCGTGTGTAAACCGCGAACAAGGATTGAAGACTCTTTAGTTTAAAACTTCGTTTCTGATGAAACACAGCTATTAGTTTCGCTTGGTAAATCTCGTTTCGCCAAAAAGTTGTACTACAAGAAATTTTATTTAGGTCATTTCTTGTTTTCATGTTGCTTTCAATCAATCGTTTTCACTTTTCAATCAGGAAATCCAACAGTACCAGCAGCCCTCGTGTGTTCGCTTTTGTTGACAAAAAAAGATGGTCACGCTGGCGTGGGCCGTATCATCAGGAGTTTTACTCTTCTTCGTAAAGGGTAAGTTACTTTTATTGCATTTAGATTAATTTTTTTTCGATAATAAAAAATAAATCTTGAATAACGCCGTGTAAACTCTTAAGTCAAATTTTTTCGATATATGTAATGGAAAACATTTTATTGATTTGCGGCAGTTCTAATGCCATAGCTGAATTGTTTAGCATAGAAATGTAGAAAAAACTAAAAGAAAGCTAAAATGTTAATAAATACACGTAGATATTGTTATATTATATAAGGTATTGTTTCTCAAAATCTATAGTAATGTTTAGTGGAGAAGTCAATCAACAAGAATCAGCGTTATATTTGTAAATATTGCAAGACTTTCTGTTTCAATTCTGTTTCAATGATTCTGTAGTTAAACCGTCGACACTAGTCAAGCAATATTTACAAATATAACGCTGATTCTTGTTGTTTGACTCTCCAATAATCCAATTCCGCGTGTTATTTTAACCTAAATCTATAGTAATGTGTTAGAAAATATTTCATTTTTTGCATGTAGTGGTAATAATGTATATAATATTTGCACTGTTTTGAATCATACTAAATAATACTGATAGCACTAAGGATTTATCTGTAAAAAAGGGAGTAAACTTATAACTATATATAAATCGAATACTTCAACAAATATAATTATGCAGAATAGAATATCTCTTTAATTCGCGATGCGATTTTCTTAATAATATTTTCTTTCTTTCGATTACTTTACTGTGGCAATGTAATATATAATACATATAATCCATAAAATATATATTGTGGGGAAAATTGTGTTACTCTTAAGGCTATGGGTCAGCAATACCGTATTAAGAGGCTAATTTTTGGAGAATTCAAAGTTATAAGCTGATTTCCGACAAATCAAGTATTCGATGCCTATAACTCTGTATTCATCAGAAGTCAGTTATAATAAAGCTCAAATTACCAGTAAATTTTCGAGGTCCAATCAATATAACAAAGCAGTTGTTTTCAACTGATGTTCAGGAAGAGATTATTAAAATTATATAGAAACTTTTTTTCAGAAATAATTAAATTCTAATAGGCATTGTTTTATTTTGCAAAACTTTTCTTTCAATAAGAACTTTGCTTCTAATCTAATAAATTTCGTTTCATTTTGTGTCTTTAAGAAGAAGGATGGATACCATTAACAACCAAAGCATTAAAATTTTCATAGTCGAAGTGTTTCTGGATTTCAAATATAAAGACAAACGTAGAATGCTAAAAATACTAAATGTATTACACCAATTTTAGCCCAAAGGGGCGGTAGCCCAGAGGAGCTATTAGTCTCAAAATGGCATTTTGTGGCGTTTCACTATAAACGGCGAATCACTTTTTAAATTGTTGCCATCAAATAATATCGCCCTGTATTATGTTTAAGCAAATGAAATAATGAAGAATCTGTATGAATGTATGTATTTTTGTTTCTCGCATTGTGAAGAAACAGCGGTACAGCCATCAAATTTTGAATAAAGTAATCCTCCACTTGAACCCCCTAGAAGCCCGAATTTTGAATTTCGAATTTATTTTATTATATATTTCATATTTTGTAAAATTTTAACGAATTTTTTATTTCCAAACTCAACGATTTCAAAGCGAGCAATGGCAAAACTGTAAAGAGAAAAAAATGTCTTATCTCCAGCATGGCGAGAATGTCTATAGGAAATTCCAAAGATATACTTTTTTTTAATATTTGTGATATTGCTGTTGAATTGAATTTTATGTGGTTTAAGTGCGAGATATTTAATAAATAAAGATTGCACATGAAACGTTAAAAAAAGTCCTTTTAAACATAATATAAAATCAGAAATTTTCGGGTTTTTTTATTATTTTTATTATTTTTATTTTTTATTTTTTTATTTTTATTGGAATGAGTTGATCAATTTTTTGCCGCATACTGGAATGAATATTCCAACTCTTGACTGACATAAAAATCAGAAAACGCTCAAACGTAGACTGGCATGTGAGAAAGATGGCCTTATCACAAACCAATCTAAGGAGCGAAAATTGCCAGAAGAGAAAAAGAAAAGAAAAAACCTGAATGAAATTCAGATTATAACGGTCGTCCAAAAGGTGTCTGACAAAGTTTAATACGATTTATTAGTAGAAATTATCAACATACATGGGCCAGGTGAAAAAGCCAAACATTGCATAAGATACTGGAAGAATAAACATTTAAACTAACATGGGAACGTCTTCTGTATATTTGAAAATTGACAAAAATATACCATGTCATTCGATAAAAGAAAATTTAATGTTTTTAATTACATGTATCATGAATTAAATGCAATTTTACTTAATTCAATCAGATTAAAAAGTAAAAAAATAATATTCTTAAGAACTGCATCTATTGCTTTTAAATAGCTTAGTTTTTTAATTAATAAGAGACAGACTAATATTTTTTGCGGAATGACAATAGACTCGAATGAAAAGGAAACAGCGCATTTATAATAAACCAAAACAAAATTGTGCTTCGAGAATAATAGCCTTTTTGGGCTGACAATGGACTAGTCAATAGCAATATCGAATTAAGCTTTGTTTATAAATATTTTTAAGTATCGTAATTAAATACTTTATTTAGAAATAAGCATCATAATGCTTAGTAGATTTTGAAAATATTTGATTGCTGTAATGGAAGCCTCTTATTTAGAGAAAGAGGATCCAGGTGATCAATAAATGAGAGGATGTAGCATGGCAGAAATTAAACTTCAGACACTTTCAAAGGGAAAGTGAAAAATCATATCTCCTTCACAAATAACCTGAAGCCGTATAGTAAAATAAATAAGTTAGATATTAGAGCATGGAAAAATCATGACTACACCAAAATAACATCAGAAAATGAAATTAATATAATGTCATTGGCTGAAGATAAGCACGTGTTCGTTTTCTGTTGCTTTTTTTGATGCATCGATAATTTCTCCAGGATCTACAGTAATGTCTGATTTAGTTATTTAACAACAAGAAAAAAATCTGAAAAGCTTTTCAGATTTTAAATTACGCCCAAAGGGACCTTTTTTTTTAACGTTTTGTGCGTTATCTTTATTTATTAAATATTGTGTTCTTTTCACTTTAAACCATAAAATTCAATTCAACAGCAATATCGCAAAATAATTTTAAAATGAGCATATCTTTAGAATTTCCGATGAACAGCGCGGGCTGGAGATGAAACTTTTTTTTTTTTTTTCGTACAGTGTTGCCAATGCTCGCTTTGAAATCGTTGAGTATGTTAATCCAAAATTCGTTAAAGTGTTACAAAATATGAAATCAATAATACAAAAAATTTCAAATTCCAAATTTGGGATTCCGGATTCCCATATTCGGGTCTAGATGTATGTTATTCAAAATTTGGTGTCGCTTGGTACCGGTGCGAGAAACATACATACATTCATGCAGATTCTTCATTATTTAATTTCTTTAAATATAATGTAGGACCCTAATATTTGGTGGCAACAATTTGAAAAATGAACGGACATTTGTAGTGATTCAACGCAAAATGCCAAAGCAAAATTAGTAGCCCTTCTGGGCTAACGCCCTTTGGGCTAATAAAGTTTTTGTCATAAAAGAAATGTTATTTTTCACTTTTCTTAAAACTATTTGCATTTGTCTTCTTACTTTCATCCTTCTGTACGTTTTATTTATTTTTTATATCCACAATTTGATAACTTTTTTTTTTCTTCTAAACTGTCTCATATCTACGATACTTACCAGCTTCATTTTTTATTTATTTACTACTATTTTGTCTTCAGCCGCTCTCTGAGAATCAAAAAACAAGACAGATTTTTTTATGAATTTACTGAAATGCTGTTCAGATCTTAATTTTAGACATAAATATTATTTATATTTTCTGCTATACCATCAATGTCTCATTAGCTTTAATTGCAAATCATGCATGTTTTTAAACCACTGACTGAAAGACTTCGTTCAGACGAGTGTATAAATATCATAACTGGTTTTAAGCCGAGCTTCTTTTCTAAGTGACCAGACCTTGCCACGTCACAAAACATGGTTTAGGGGCTTTGGCATAAAATTCGAAGTTTCCTACTTTATTCTAATTATAATTGGTTACGGCTTATACGCTGTCTTGCAGGTGTGAATGGAACTCCCGCATTTTACACTTTTAAGACTAAGCCTCTGTGACATTTATACCACTATATGAGCGGAGCTAAAGAGTAAAAGAGCGATATTTGAGTTGTGGATCCCAGAGGGCAGAATCTTGACCAGAACGAATGTCCTTCAAACTACGCACAGCATTTATTTCATTGAAAAATGTTATTCTAAGACTGAAAATCATAATATTAGCAAATGCTCTGAACTGTTCATTGAATGTGCTATGGATCTCAAAAAGAAAATAATATTTTTTGATAATTTGAGAGATTAATATTTGGCTAATTTAAACTTATTATTGCAGATGCATTTCGTTTAATCAGAATGTAGACTTGTATTTCTCAAATAACTTAAATGTTTTGCTTTATCAACTATTTAAACTTATCACTCGCTTACCAATGAACAATAATATGTTTAAAAAAAGCGTAGCAAGAAAATTAAGCTAAATAAACTGAGATATGAATTTTTATGACTTAAGAACAAATATTTTTGATGGACGAATAAAGTGTTGTAAATTCCGCATAGCGCAGTGTTTTCTTGGGAAAACAAGCTGTTCAAATATTACTCGATCTTATAGACTTACATTCAGATAAAAAAGGGAAAAGAACACAGACAGTGAAAAGATAATTACTTAAAATCACACCTGTAGTTTAGTGGATAAACGCTGGTATTCACGTGAAAGCAGCAGCTTGGCATTGATAAAAGTAATGGCAATTTTTAACACTCTTCCTCAATTCCAAGCTAAGGGAAACAAAATAAAAATTACATAAAAATCATACATTTCCTTTGTTTCTCATGGTTGAGTGAGACTCATAGTTAAAGTATCGGCTGATGTTTAACAGTCAGCGCTAATTGGACACCAGTTTGACAGATTTTAAAGTCTCTTACACTGGGTAGGCGGCGAAGGT